TAAACTTTATTTTTTATATAAATCCAATAATATATAGTTTCTTATACAAGTACAAAGGACATGGGTCATTCAATGGCTTACATCTTCTAGCGTTTCATATTAATTTTATTTTACTGTAAGTGTTTTATTGGATTCTTTTAAGTGCTTGTAGTACTTTGAGAGAGGTGTTTAGGTTAGAATACGTTTTATTTTACTACAATTTTAAAAGACGTTTAGGTTAGAATTCATATTATTTAACTACAATTTTAAATACAACTTTAAAATATTTTCACTGTTAATTTTAATAGACTATTTCTTTTTAAAATAAGTAAATGTATTAGAATTACTTACAGTAAGTAAAATTATTTTTCCATATTAAGTATAAGTATGTATATTACCAGGTCACAATATTTAAAAATTTTATATTTCAATATTATTTAAGTAAAATTTATGACAATTACGGCAAAAATAGCTAATTTATTTCTCTGATTTAGTAAACTTTATTTTTTATAAACTTAGTAATATATAGTTTCTCATATATGTACAAAGGACATGGGTTATTCAATGGCCTACATCTAGCTTTTCATCACAATTTCATTTTACTGTAGGTGTTTTATTGGATTCATTTAAGTGCCGGTAGTACTTTGAGAGAGGTGTTTAGGTTAGAATACGTTTTATTTAACTACAATTTTAAAAGATGTTTAGGTTAGAATTTGTTTTAACTACAATTTTAAATACAACTTTAGAATATTTTCACTGTTATTTTAACAGACAATTTCTTTTTTTTTTTATAAACAAGTAAATGTAATAGAATACTTACAGTATATAAAATTATTTTTTCACATTAAATATAAGTATGTATATTACCTGGTCGCACTTTTTAAATTTATTTTTATTTTTAAATATTATTTAAGGAAAATTTTTGACAATGACGGCATAAAATAGCTATTTCATTTCTCTGATTCAATAAATTTTTATTAACTTAGTAATATATAGTTTCTCATGTATGCACAAAGGATATGGGTCATTTAATGACCTACATATTCTAGCTTTTCTTATTAACTTCCATTTTACTGTAGGTGTTTTATTTGATTCTTTTAGGTGCCAGAAGTACTTCAAAGAGATGTTTGATTTTTATATTTATTTATCCTAAATGAACTTTGATGTTGGTTGAATCTTTTTTTGAACTCACGGCTAGTGCAACCTATATATATTTTTCTGTTTTCAGGATTTTCAATCGAAGAGATATTGCATTGGTATACTAATGATTCTGTGCAACATTTATTTTGTAGAGGGCAATTATGAGGGTTTCTACAGTTATTTTGTAAAAATAAAAATATCTATGAGAACACCAGATTATATATCTTACTGTTCTTTCTTTTTATTTATATATATATATATATATATATATATATATGTGTGTGTGTGTATGTGTGTGTGTGTGTGTGTATACACATATTTTGGGCACTTCAATGTGTTGTAATTTGTTAGCAAGTTTGTCCCAATTACAACTAAGTAACAAGTTCAATCCACACTGGGCGCTCTATACTTTTGGCCTTGTGCCACATATAAGCTATACACACATTTTTGGGGCAGTGAGCATTAATGAGTTCATTTTTTTCAATTTTTTTTTCACTCCTTTTATTTCTCTTACTTTTTATTACAAAGCTTGGGTTGATTTTACATTCTACAGTTGTTAAGTAAATGCTTGGAAAATTTGATACACATGGGACAGAAAGAGGGCAAAGCAGGATTTGGGAGAGATGGCCAAAGGACAAAATTTATTAAGAGCTATAAAGTACAGGTGGTTGTGTAGAGCCATGATCACCAACGTCCAGAAGGGCCATGGCACATAGAAAAAGAAGCAATCAATATGGGTTAAGAAATGAAGAATAAGATTCTGGCAAGATTTGATCCCACATCTCTTACCCTTGAGAGCCTTTCTGAAATAGTCAGCAATTAGCTAACTGATTAGGCTACACAAGCTAACCACCAGACATCATTAAAATTTAGTTGGAGGCTTTTTTTTTTTATCTGATTCATGCCACTTACTGAAAAATATTAGGATGTGGTTCAGCATGTATGACTGGCAGTTGAGTGATTTCCAGTATGCACAATTTGGGAATCAAGTCACTGTAAGTGAAACATAGTGGAAGATAATGTCTACCATAGCATGATGGTACACAAGTTAAATTCATGAGCATAGAGTGTTCAATCCAAACTCAATTCCCTCACTATTGTGGCCCTGTGCCAGACTAAGCTCAATAGATAACTATTGGGTATCTAGCATAGTATAATAATTAGCAAATTCTTCTCACTGATGAGTTTGATCCTCAAAGATGCTCTTTTACTGTAGCCTTGTGTCAAATTATAGGAAATAACTTGTGTCTACTTGATGGCTGAAATAGTTATATATTTTCCAATCGTACCAATGGACAGGAAAAAAATTAATGATTAATTTTGAAAATAAATTTCTCTCTGCTTGGAAACAATTTTTTTTTTTCATACTAAAGTTCATCCAGTAAAAGGCTCAAGAGCCACTTAAAATAGAGGGCTACTGAATGAGGTGTAAGACATGAAAGGAAATAGAAAAAAAGTGAAAATTATGAGGATATGGAGGATATATAACAACTGACCTTATACTCCAAGAGATTAAGATCATAGTGTTCAGAGAAGCATAATGTATTTTTTTTTACCCAGCTTTTACCCCCATTTTAGCCTTGTGTCAGACTAAGTTAAGCTTAGTAAATATCACTGGTTGATCAGTGACAATTCAACATTACCACCTCATTAAAAACTTCTACACAAATTTCTGTGATGAGGAGTTATTATCTCTATTATTTATAGTCAGACTAATGTCCCCATCTTTGTTGTTGTTATTATAACATTTTGGTTGTTGTCTTGTCCAACCTTCTTCAGCTGTCTATTGATTCGGGTAATCTTCAGAGAATTTTGAACTTAAATCTTTATTTAATCAATAGTTATCATTCCACTACTCATATTTAGGGATATCTTGTGCTTGTTCTGTTTTAATATTGCTCAGTTATTGCTCATCTGTTTCTACTGAGTCTGTACTATTCAGCCCAGGGTTTAACTTCACCAAATTCATTAGCCAACACTAATTCACTAGGTTAAACACCTGAAGAAGGCCTCTAACCTTCATAACATTATGATGATAACAACAAAGATTGTTACATGTTGACAGCAGTAAATGACCTCAGCTTGGCTTTTTCTCTTAATCGGTGACTGACTATCGTTTTGGTTTGGCAATGAAAGACTTCAACACAGAGAATTTTAACTTAACTATTTTTATTAATCATGTTGACATGTACTTTATCTAACTATCCAGTGGAGGTCACCCTCACTCCCAACACTGGGGAGCCATTTTGGACACAAAAGAGAATACGTCTTGCTCCTATCTCTTTCTCCACTCTAGCTCAGCCAATCAAAATCAACTTCCCTATTATGGCTTCCATCTGACCCTAGCTGTCAAACCCTGGAAATCAGAGCCGAGATACACTTCCTCTAAAAATAATAGTCTGCTAAACTTATTTAACAAGATCTGGACATTGGTTTGAATGTAAATAATCATTATAAACTATTTTAAGATATAATTACTTATGTTTTTGTTGCTGAAAGGAAAATGTAGAAGTCATTTTTGGATTAGTGAAGATAATTCAGCATTTTGTCTTGACTTCTGTGTGACTTATTAATCTAACATGAATTTGATTTCCATCAATCAAAATCTACAGATTAATCTATATATAGAATTATGTGATTTCTGTTAGTCCTTCCATCCATTACACCCTCTAAAATAGCTATTTTATGTTCATTTTTTCCACCCACAAATTTAGGTGAGGGTAAAAGTTCAAATTAAAAAAAAAAGTTCTTCCAACAGTTCAGAGCTTTACTAGTAGGATATTTCATGCTACTTCCACATAGTTGAATCACCCTCATTTCCTCCATATTCCAAAAAAAAAAAAAAAAAAAAAAAAAAAAAAAAAAAAGAGTTCCACTCAGCCTTTTTCTCAAAAAATGCAATTTTACAGAACAGACTCCTACATTGATGCTTTCCTGAACATTATAATCCTGACCTCTTCAAGTTAAGGATTAGTCATTATCTATCTTCCTTATCCTCATAATCTTCACTTTCCTCTTTTACTAATACAAATATCTTATTCATTATAACCATTTTAACAGTAGTCTTCTGCAAGTGACTTTTGAGTCTTGTATTGGGTGATTTTTAATATAAAAAATTTGATGCCTAACTTTGATGGCTTTGAGGACATTTAAACGGATTCATTTTCTGTTTTTTTAATATTTTTAAAATAGTCATTATTAAACATTTATGTTGATTTTTTTTTTTGTTTAATTACTGTGAAATATATTCTGAAAATTAGTTTTAATCTAATAAAAGTTTTGAATAAAATATTGTACCAATTTGACCAACCATGGATAAGTGAAAGGTGATGTTCTTGAAGTTGGCAATTTCACAGTTGATGAAGCCTACTGTACTATTAAACTGCCTCAAAAAACAATGATGCTACCGAGACTAGATACCTTACTACCCACAGATCTGCTGATGATTCTATTAACATAGAAAATACTATTAGTGCTAGAAATAAAGTTCAGTCAACCTTACCTGTTATACCCAGATGTGAGATTAGCTTTCCTGAAATCCAAGTAAATGTGCTCTGCCCGACAATACCTGAGAAACTGGCTACACTCAAGAGACGAGTCTCCCTGGGGGACACAAGAGAATTGTTAATTATTATTCATTTTTTACAAGAATTTCTGAAGTTTTCAATTTCAGAGGTTATTTTCTCACAATGACATTTATGGACATTAGTAGACAGGGCAGATCAGAAATATGAATTAAGCTCTCGGTAAGACTTGAACCGGCATTCATTTTCACTTCAGAAGCCTCATCAGCATGACAACGACAATATATGAACTAGGAACACCAACAGTTAGTGAAAAGCAGTTATCAAAATTGCAGATCAAAAATAAATTCAGTAAATTTGTGGTGATAAAGCCACTAAGATGCAAGGGTTACTGAGAGTTAAAGAAACTACAAAAAAGTTATTAATGATAAAAGATAATAAAAGAACAGGTTTCAAGAAAACAGATGATGATTGACATTTAAATCTTTGAAGATCGTAATTGATAGGGAAGCAAGAAACCAGAAGTGAGTTCCACAAGCAGAAGAAACCATTAGAATGGAATTTACAGTTACATTTACAAATCTCAACAGTATAATAATGAGACCTAGCTGCCAATCTAGTACTGCACTTAAAAATTTATGAAGTCAAAGTAACAAAGAGGAAAGCTCATCAGAAAAATCATCATGAAAATATTTATTAAAAAAGGCACAGGGAAGCTACATTATGGTTTTGGGAAAGTGACTGAAGCAGAGATGCCAGGTCAAGACATAACATTGCAGATTCTTTGGATTTTGTCAAGAATTTCTAGATACATTGCAGTTGTGTTAATTTTGGACATTAAACAGTGCCAGATATTTAGGGAAATAATTAGCAAAATCAAATAGTTAGATTTCATCTTCTGTAACAGTTTGTAGCACTAAAACAGATGTTCCAAAGAAAAATGGATACACATTTGTGCTGCACTGAAAATGTATCCCTTCTTTTCGTTCTATTCCGTTAATGGCTACAGTCCAAGTAGTTGTTAGGAAAAAAGACATTAAGATAGTGAAACAAAAACATTGACTTATCACTATAGTCAAAGTTTTTTTTTTAGAAAATACATCATGAAAAAGGCATATGTTGCAGATGAATAGTCAATCTCATAGAACATCGGTAGTTTATTTTTTAATCATTTCATCCTGAACCAGGCAATAAAATCACTTAAATGCGCAGCATTATTGAGTGTTAGAGAATATGAAAAAAAAATACTATTAAGGAGAGAGAACAATAAAAGAACAGGAATTAAGAAAATAGAAGACAACGATTGACATTGCATTTAAATTTTTGAAGATCAAAGATGACTGAGAAGTCAAAAAGTGCAATAGCATAGAACTTATGGCTACATCTAGACATTTCAACTGTAAAATGATGAGACCTTGCTGCCAATCTAATAGTGCACTTAAATTCATAAAGTTTACCATAGAGAAAAGTTTATCAGAACAATTACCATGAAAGTATTTATAGAAAAGGCACAGAGAAGCTACATTATGGCATTCAGAAGATGACGGAAGCCAAGATGCCAGGTCAGAATAACATTGCAGATTCTTCTCCAAATTTTATCAAGAATCTCTAAATATATAGCAGGAGCACCAGACTATATGTGGCAGTTTATCATTAAGTAGTCTACAAATGGAGCATTGTACCATATATATATATATATAAAAATAAAAAGAAAGAACAGTAAGATATATAATCCGGTGTTCTTATAGATATTTTTATTTTTACAAAATAGTGCTCAATGTAAATTTACAGAGCATTAATATTATAAATTAATTGATTTAAAATGTGTTTTTTTTTTTTTTCGCTACACAGTTCTAACCATGTTTCAAAAATGGAAGCCAAAAGCCCCGAATTTAATTTTGTAATTAAATTAAAGACATTAGTTCCATTTCATCCTCAAACAAATTTTGGAGTAACTTAAAATTACTGGGTTTTAAAGACACAGCTAAAATCATAATTCAGCAAAAAAAAAAACAATTTAAATCAATTTATTATATATATATATATATATATATATATATATATAATAGACACACACACAATGTTTGCATTTCCTCATGTATAGAAGAGTGTACTATTTTAAATTCTTTTAAAAGAGCTTTTTAATATACATAAAAAATAAAATTCTTCTTTTATTTACAGACCCATTTCATGCTTAGCAATTTTTTTCAAAATGAGTGGCTGTTTTTTCTAATAGCATTCCCAATTCCTATTTGTTCTTTTCAGTTTTTTTTTTTTTTTTTTAAAGAATGCATCAGCATGCAGAAGGTTCCAAATAATTTAATTCCTTTTACTTATGTGCATTCTTAAATTCTATAATCTGCCATTTCCCTCCATGCAAAGATTGTAATTTATTCCTACAAATCTCTTATCTTTTTTATTATATTTCATTATACTAATGGAATTTTCTGTTTTATCTTTAATTCCCATATATACTTTGACAATATGGCATTATTCTTATATCTTTTATGTTTGAATGATAAAAACATTATATATTGGATGTGCGAGTGTTGTAGTTGATAACGGCTTGGAATCAGTTATCAGAATTTGAATTCAAGTCAAGTTTATTACATTCACTTACACAAATACCTTTAGGCAATCATGAATCAAAAAGAGACATGACTGTCCAAACATGTCACATCCACCCCTACCAACACATATTGGGTCAATGCAGTAGGGTAATGGTCCATTCCTCCAAATGAATCTAGGGAAGGCCTATGTCCAACAAAAAGACTTTCACATGCAGGAAGAAATATCGGGTGTTCCAGTAACTTGGACCAATTTTAAACTTAATTCATATTTAAAATCAGTCAAAGTTATTGGAACACCCTTTATAAATGTACAGTAATTATTTAATCCAACATTATTTCTTATTACTATGAACATTATTTTTAGTGAGTACACATGTTTGAATTGACATCCCTATTTTTTTTTTTTTTTTTTTTTTTAGGAGAGACAAAGTAATATCTACCGACTTACATTGAGAAGTTTTAATAAAGAAAAATATGCCTTCTGACAGGAATCGAACCTGTATCTCCTTTTTCCATCAGGGAAAACACTGCTGTAGCCAAAGCATGCCATTACCAATTTGGTTACTTAAGGCCATCATGAGGAAGTAATGCTCAATCACACATCTCTCATTGGGACTTCTTCAAAGTTATATCTGCTAGCTTCAGTTTCATACTCAAAATGTAAACGGAGAAATTTTTAAATAGATTTTTTTTTTTTTTTATATGATATTTTTTATAGGCCAGTTGATATTAATTTCACTGTTTAAGGAAATAAAAACAGGGATTCCAACTCTAACATGTGTTGCCACTAAAAATGACATTTTAGTAATAAACACACACATATATATATATATATATATATATATATATATATATATATATATATATATATATATATATATATAAAGTTTATTTTAGGATATTACATCAAAACATGTAAAAAAAAAAAAAAAAAAAAACACTACACAAATACAATCATGTTTTGATGCATATTAACACACCTCATCAGGTGTTGGTAAATAGCTGGTGAGTAGACGATTTATTAATATTGCTCTACTTTTGTATTGATACCACTTTTAAATTGAATGTTACGAACTTCAGAATTGGACTCCATTCATTCTTATTTTACATAGATATATCACTCCCCTAAGGTCAAGCATTGTTTACATTTATTTTAATACTTTAACATGTAAAAAAAAAAATTGATTTTGGAATTTCATTAAAAAAAAAAAAAAAAAAAAAAAAAAAAAAATTCCCAACACTAACAAATGGGAATATTTCAAAAACTGAGACCGAGGATTTGATTAGAAGAATGAGATGGAAAGCTTATTTCTTCCTTCTGGATCAAGATGCTTCAGATACAGCTGATTCTTATGGATTTAGAAATTTAAAAACTGCACCTCTCATCGAACACTTACACGGTTTTGAAATGGATCTTCTAAACATTATAAATGACATCACTTTTCATAAATACAGGAACCTATTTCAGAAGCATTTAGATGTTATAGTTAGTGATATTAATAAATCCAACCAAATATTTGTAAAATCTGATAAACATGTAGAATGTAGGATCAGCAACCACTCATCAAAGATATGTTTGAGAAACATAGCAATGTGTACAATAAAGTTCCAAGGAATAGCAGGTATAATACAGTGAAATTCAATTTCGAAAATATGATGACTATAATTCAAAAAGAAATTAGAAGATCACTTGGTACACACCACCATTTAATCAATTAGTAAGTACTAAGTCAGGCCTAAGTTTCTCAAATTGATTGATAAACATTTTCTGAAAAGTAACTCTCTTAGTAAAATATTTAACAGAAATAGGTTAAAAGTATGTTATAGTTGCACCAATAATCTTGAGAAAATTATAAAGTTGCACAACAATAGAACTCTAAACCAATTTAATAATCTTAATCATAATAAAAGTTCCAATGAAAATATTGTTAAGAATAACAACCAATGTAATTGTAGGAATCCTAACCAATGCTCATTGTCAAACAAATATTTAACCAAATCTCTTGTGTATCTTTGTTCTATCTCTACAATGGAAAATACAAGGGTTGAAAAGTTCTATATTGGCAGTACTAAGAATTCTTTCAAAACTTGCTCGTATCAACACATATCATCTTTTACTAATAATACTTATAGAAATAATACATCACTTTCAAAATATTTTTAGAGGTTGAAAGATGAAAATAAAACTCCTAAAGTGGAAAATTTTAAAACTAGCATGGACATGTAGATCCTTACATGAACCTTGTTTTCTGTGTTTACAGGAAAGAGTGCAGATTATCAGGTTCTTAGATAGGGATGCTTTATTAAACCAAAGATTTGAATTAGCAGTTAATTGTAAACATACCATACCTTTAACTTTACAATCTTACTAAACTTTGAAATTTGACAACTGCTCCTTTTTAGATTTCAGTTAAACCTTGTTGCAGCATGTAAGGCTTACTTTTTTGTTAGTAAGATCAATTTCAATGTAGTATAAGTTTTACATTAATCTTCTAGTAGTGTTGGTAAC